CTCTCCCTCCCTCCCTCTCACCCTCCCTCCTTTCATCCCTCTCTCTCTCCTCCCTTTTCCCCCTCTCTCTCATCTTCTCCCTCCTTGTATGTGTGAGAAACATGTGCGACTCATTTAGTTTATTTAGGGTTGCTTGTATGAGCATGTGTGGAAGGCAATGTCACCTCACCTGTGGATATAGCACAGAAGAAAGCGACACCTTCTCGGCAACCATCAGTTGCCATGAGTTCCTTACAGAGGGGCAGTGTTGGCACCATGAACCCTTCTCTATCCTTGCTCAACAACATGTACCAAGCACTTAGATGTTCACCTCACAACTATGGCTTCAGGAGAAGCATTATCCACCCGTGCAGGAGGCTAAAGCAATTCTTGACAAGCAATTCTTGTTAACAGCCATGATTAGCTCTTTATCTGAGTCTGGAGCTACAGGGAAATAAAGCAGGGACAGATACATGCAGTGGCCTAGCATCCTCTCTCCATCAGTTTGAGTATGGCTGTGCCTAAACTCCCTCATTAGATCCTAAGCGTGTACTTGTGATGGGTAATGTAAACAGCCCCTTGACTAACAGTGTACGCCTTAGAGGGATAAGTTGTTGACTGATGGTTTCCCCTTTGGAATAGGTGTACTCTATAGTACTGAGTTGAACGAATAGATAGTCTACATGCATCTATCAATAGACTAAAATCCAGACTCTAGTCTAGAAAGAATTCAGAAGCCTTTGTTGTGGCCATGATGAACGCATAAGGAGACTGTTTCCAAGAGAGAGGAACACAGTTAACAGTGAGTCAGTCTCTCCTCTGTCCCTAGACTTTCTATCTCACACTGGCACTGCTAGGAAGTGAGTAAGCACTCATACTTCAAATTCCTGTGACCTTCAAGTGTGGCCAGAGATGAGCATTTTTGGAGCAAGTCAACTCTGACCACTGTGGCACTAGGAACTTTCCAGGCCAGAGATGCTGGGGTCAAGGCAGGAGATGGGAGTGTCCCCTTGATGGCTGGCTTGCAGACTCAAGCTCAACTTTTTTTTTTTTGTCTAGAGGATTAAGCCCATTCTTCAGGGTGGGGGTATCCCTTGGTTCTAGGATGTAAGATGTGACTATATAGCTAATGAGTTGTTCTCCTACATAATCTATGATTCTTCTCCATCTCCTCTTCACCCTAGCTATTAATCTCTCTATAAGGAGGTGAGTGAGATAGCATTGGACAGGATTTTACCTTAATCTTTGTCAGTCTCCAGAGAAGCAGCTCCATGTAGTTAGTGGTGGTCTGTGTGTAAGATGAAACCAGGTTGGACCTTTTATGAGTTCTGGGTTAGTGGCTGGCAGGGGGATGGTAATTCTTTATATTAATTTATTCACTTTACATCCCAATCCCAGCTCCCCTCCTGTCCTCCCAGTCCCTCCTTTACAAATCCTTCCCCCATTATCCCTTCCTCTTATCCTTAGAGAAGGGGAAGCCCTCGCTTGGGTATCATCTTACCCTGGGACACCAAGTTGCAGTAGGACTAAGCATGTCCTCTCCCACTGAGGCCCAACAGGCTGTCCAGCTAGGGCAAGGGGATCCAATGGCAGGGAACAGAGTCCGAGACAACCCCACTCCAGTTGTTAGGGGACTCACATGAAGATCAAGCTGCACATCTGCTACAAATGTGTAGGGATCCAAGGTCTAGCCCCTGCGTGCTTTTTTGTTGGTGGTTCAGTCTCTGTAAGCCCCCACAGGCCCAGGTTAGTTGACTCTGTAGGCTTTCTTGTGGTGCCTTGATCCCTCTGGCTCCCTCAATCCTATCCCCAACTCTTCCTAAAGACTCCCTGAGCTCCACCTGAAGCTTGGCTGTGGGTCTCTGCATCTGTTTCCATCAGCTTCTGGATGAAGCCTCTCAGGAGGCAGTTACGCAAGGCTCCTGTCTGCGAGCATAGCAGAG